TCTTTATTTTGCACTATTTTGTTGTATAACAACATCACAAACTACAAATGATCTGCTAAATTCTCACTAAAATGTCATTTATGTGTCAGACTTTCAATTGCCATTTCAATGTTGTGTTAATTTCTGTTCAATCTAAGACATATTCATAAAATGTCACTATTTCAAGCAAACTGTCATCACAGTAATGATACATACTTACAACCCCACTACATAACCACATATTAGTGGAATGTCACTTTTCATACAAAATGCCACCATATACTTCTTTATTTTGCACTATTTTGTTGTATAACAACATCACAAACTACAAATGATCTGCTAAATTCTCACTAAAATGTCATTTATGTGTCAGACTTTCAATTGCCATTTCAATGTTGTGTTAATTTCTGTTCAATCTAAGACATATTCATAAAATGTCACTATTTCAAGCAAACTGTCATCACAGTAATGATACATACTTACAACCCCACTACATAACCACATATTAGTGGAATGTCACTTTTCATACAAAATGCCACCATATACTTCTTTATTTTGCACTATTTTGTTGTATAACAACATCACAAACTACAAATGATCTGCTAAATTCTCACTAAAATGTCATTTATGTGTCAGACTTTCAATTGCCATTTCAATGTTGTGTTAATTTCTGTTCAATCTAAGACATATTCATAAAATGTCACTATTTCAAGCAAACTGTCATCACAGTAATGATACATACTTACAACCCCACTACATAACCACATATTAGTGGAATGTCACTTTTCATACAAAATGCCACCATATACTTCTTTATTTTGCACTATTTTGTTGTATAACAACATCACAAACTAAAAATGATCTGCTAAATTCAGACTAAAATGTCATTTATGTGTCAGACTTTCAATTGCCAATTCAATGTTGTGTTAATTTCGGTTCAATCTAAGACATATTCATAAAATGTCACTATTTCAAGAAAACTGTCATCACAGTAATGATACAAACTTACAACCCCACTAGATAACCACATATTAGTGGAATGTCACTTTTCATACAAAATGCCACCATATACTTCTTTATTTTGCACTATTTTGTTGTATAACAACATCACAAACTAAAAATGATCTGCTAAATTCAGACTAAACTGTCATTTATGTGTCAGACTTTCAATTGCCAATTCAATGTTGTGTTAATTTCGGTTCAATCTAAGACATATTCATAAAATGTCACTATTTCAAGCAAACTGTCATCACAGTAATGATACAAACTTACAACCCCACTACATAACCACATATTATTGGAATGTCACTTTTCATACAAAATGTAACCATAGTCTTCATACACACTTAAAATGCCACCATATAAGAACATGATGCAATGAAATGTTTTTACATTCAAACGATTTAAACTTTCTAAACTCCTTTAACTGTCAAACTTTTGTCAATTTCAGACATTCCTCTACTCAACGAAATTAGTACTTACTATTTCGGAATTGATTCTGACGGAAACTTTGTTTGACAAATCCATAGCTCTGTCCATCAACTCTGCTCAACGATTCTACTCTCCTCAAATTTGAGGGTCGTCTAAGACGAAAGATTACTACCTCTGTGCTTTGAAGTTTTGAATCGAAGTGCACGTTTGATACTCGTAGAATGACTGGTCTCTTCAATCGCAGCTCTCAACCGTTCCAATACATGTTCATTTAATTTTGAATCTCTTTTTCGGCGGCCATGATCATGCTTGGAAACCGGGAATAGCCGGGGGAGAGAAGTAACCGTCAAATAAGGGAAGAGTACGTGTGTATCGTTTAATGAGGTCATTTTTGGCAATTCAGCGCATATTTGGTCCTATGCGAGTCGGGGGAAAAGTGGATGTCCTATTTTTGAAATTTTGATAAGTAATAGTCCTATTTTGTAAAATTTCTCATCTTTTTTTGCATCTCTAAGACTCTTCGAAGTACACGTCGCCGTTGGCAGTAACCATTTGATATTATGATGATTATGCTGAAACCTCGTAGAATACGGAGTATATATATATATATATTACTCCAACGGTAGAAGAGTTGTGTCTCAAATAGGACTAATAACAAAGTTATTGCACATTTAAGATTATAAACGAAACACAAGTTTCATATGACCATTTTCAAAATAGTTGGACAAAAATATCCCACTTTTAATGTTTTAAATTTTAAAAATGTAAAAATTAAAAACTATTGAAACCCTAGGAGTAGCACTGCCGCCGCCAGAGCCAAACCACCCGCCGGCGCATCCTGCCTCTACCCTCACCGGAGACGGCGTCGCCTGTTGCCGCCCTTGTCGGTGAATGCTCCGCCTGTCGCCGCCCTCGCCACCCTCACCGTCTGTTGCCGCATCCTTGCCGGCGCATCATTGCCACCCATCGCCGCCCCCTGATGCCGCCACTTCCCACACCGGTGTCACCATTCATGTCATCGCCATCTGACCGGCGTCGCCATCTGATGAGCACTTTGTCACGGTGCGTCAAAATAATATTCGATACTAGCACTTATACGTAGTATAGGTGAAGTAGAGTTCGTATCCATATGAAAAAGAATATTTTTCTTTTTGTGAACTTAGTAAATAAAAGGGGATTTTGGTGTTGAATGATTTAATTAAATTAAAAACTAAGATGAACGACTTATATGAAATTTAATTCAAAGATAAAAAGGAATTGACATTGCTATTTTTCACTTGTTGATATATTTTAGTCGATCATTGTTATACCTATAACTTATTCCCTCTTGAATACTCAATCGAGGAGTATATCCAATTCATCGAGGGTAGTTATTAACAACGACCGTTCATTAATAATCCTTACTGTTAGTCAAGTATAGAACACTGCAATATACCGACTTGATAGTAGCATTTAATCTCTTAACTCCTTGATGAAATCAAATGAGATTGATAACCTCAACACAACGGTTTCGGTTTAACCAACAACATACGTTATTTATCCACACATAAAATAGCTATTTTCTTGTAGTGTTAATAAACTTGTAGAATTATGATCACATCAAATTCTACACGAGTTCGGACTGAAATCAGAAACATTTGTGAATATATGGTTAATCTGTAACTTTTAATTAATGCATTGTAAATTAAGTTAGAACAATAGCTTTAGAGCTCCGATCTATATTTCCAACGAGATATAATACGCTTGAAACGGATAAACACACAGCAAGATATGAGTGTCACGAATACTTAGCCTTATCTATATGATTTAGCGTTTTCAGCGAAAATAGAGCACTTTTAGCGTAAATACAGTGTATTTTAGTAATTAGGAAATTATCCCTTGATATTTTGAAACTAGCGTCTGAAGACAAGTTTTAGAACTCGGTAAGAGCTTTCCAACGAGATATTAAACGCTTTCAACGGCACAAAATAGAGCACGATATTGCCGCATCAAATTCTACAAGTTTATTAATTACACTACAAGAAAATAGGTTATTTACCCACACATAAAATAGCTACACATACTATGTGTTGACAATTAGCTACACATAATTTAATTATGTGTAGGTAAATCATTAGCCAATTAGATACACATATAATGTGTGGGCAAAACGTTTTTGTCACGTTGAAATTTGGAGGGAAGTTTCCCTCTCATTTTTTTACTTTTAAGGGAACGTAGTGTTTATTTAAAATGCTGAGGTGGATTTTTAATTTTTAATTTCACCCACACAATTACTTATGTGTGAGTAATAAGTACTCCAGTTTATTATGCACACATAAATAATACACTTTCTAAAAGTGTAGATAAAACTGAAGATTTGTTTATTAGAAAAACAAGAAATAAATTGAAATCACACATCAGACACGTACCACAAACCCTCACCGTCTCTCTCTCACGAATTTGGGCCTGAGTATATACGTGCGCCGTGCGGCCAAGTATTTCGTAGACGGTTATCGTCTTCGTTATTAGACAATCGTAGAGCAGACGGCCGCTTCCTCTCGAGATGAAACAAAGTAGAGAAACGAAATCAAATACAGAGTAAGTTTCTGTAAATTCTTGATCAACTCGAAGGAGAAAGCCCCTTCTTCCCATTTTTAATTTCTCGATTTCTTAGTAAACCACCCTAAAATCCCATTAATAGTCTTCGCTTTCCCCTTTTAATTGTAATCCTTCAAAACTTTGGTTTTAGTTTTCGGCGGCAACCCTAATCTTTTAATACCATCAGTCGACGTCGCTTCCCTTGAGCTGCGATTCCCCTTTGTCTGACTTCCTGGATCGAGTTGTGACCCCTTCAATGTGTAAAAAACAATACACATAATTTTTTAAAATTTGGGTTGGGCCAAGGCTGACCCTCACCTAGTTACGCTCGTGATTATACATATAATAGTATAACTTTTAAATTAATATTTAACAAAACTGATTAGTGCAAAATAATTAGGGCGACCCATGACCTTTTAATTCAAGAATTTTTTTGCATTGAAATGTTTTATATTTTGAGCTTAAAAATTGAGCGTAAAGAACTACTATGTATATGTTTTAAGTAAATCTTTTGATTTAAACTGGTTGAGAATTAAGTTGATTGACGATGCATAATTGCAATTAGTTTTTCACCCCATATGGTCTTCAGATTTTTTTAAACTTTATATATTACATATTGATGTCATATGAAAGATCACAAAAAGTTATAAATTTTGGTATATGTTTCAAAAAAAATGGAAGAAAAATATGAAAGTTATAGTCATTTAAAGAAAAAGAGATTCTTTTTCTAAATTGGCCCCACCTATTTTCACTTAGTCTCTTTACGCAAGTTCTCCATATGAAGGAGAGAATCCCCAAATGGTTTGACGACTTATAAATCGCTAAACGGTTTGACGACTTTCCCCGAGACCAGAGTTTAGTCCAGCAGTATATTGGTAAATACTTTTAACCTAACATTAATTCCGTAATTAATTAATTAATTAACATTAATCTGGAAAAATCCCCGATAAAACATTAGAGAGAGAGGAGAATGAAGGCCCAACGTCCACATGGTTGTTTGAGTGGGATCGGTCGGTAAATGTTGCTAATGCTAATTAATGTCATGTCATATATGAGATGGCAGAGGAAAGTGTTTAATTAAACGTTACGTTGTAATTAGAGGGAGGGAGATGGATGCACTGATACAATTTACATAAACGTTAAAAGGAAAGGACTAGCTACGCCGGCCAGGCTCTCATCTCATCTCATGAATAGAAAAGAAAGTAAAGGCGTGAAGGGAGGCCGGGACAAGATAACTTAATATCAATCAAAACATGTTGCTGCTAATTAATGCTGCTGGTACGATCGAGTTGAATGAAACACAACTAGCTAATTAAAAAAAACTAGGTGCGGCTGGAACCTTTGGTCCTAAGAAAAGAGGCACTTTTGGTGATCTCACGCAGGGGTTTATCTGTGAAGCGGATCACATTGTACACCCAAGCCCCCGATATGGCCCCTGCCGTTGGCCCCACCAAGTATATCCAAATCCCTTTGTACTGCTGCCACACTATTGCTGGCCCCAAGCTCCTTGCCGGGTTCATTGAAGCCCCTGTTATCGGCCTGCACTATTCCAAACAACATTTCCTACTAACATCACAATTAACAAAACCACATTTTCGTATTAATTAAACAATATTCACAAAATATTCCGTTTCAATTTTCAATAATTACACAAACAATCCCACACATATCCTAATTAACGCTTGAATAAAATAAATTGTTATGATTAAAAGTTCTCTTTTCAAGAATTTTAGTTTTATCATCACTTTCTTACTAGATCCTCTCATATACTCTTAAAGTTATACTCCCTCCGTCCCGGAAAATTAGTCCCACTTTGACTTGGATCGGAGTTTAAGAAAATGAGAATAAAGTGGAAATGTATGATTGTGGTTGAGTAAGAAAAAGGTAAATGAATGTTAGTCACATAAAACTTTCCAAAAAGGGAAATGAGAACAATTTTTTGGGACGGCCCAAAAAGGAAAATGAGACTTATTTTATGGGACGGAGGGAGTACATATATAGGTTTCAAATCAAATAAAAATTACCATCAAAATTGTAAAAAATCACTTTTCCCCAATGCGATGCACTTTAAGGTTAGTCTCTTACTCTTTTTGACATTCGGTCGAGTCCTACCAAATAAAAAATGCAGCAACATTTTGATAAGTAAGTTAAAGTTTTTTGTCAATGCAAAAAAGTGCAACATATAAACCTAACATTGTACCTAGTGTCGTAGTATCACATTGGAGAAAAAGTGAACAGTTTACAATTTTCACTAGAAAAATGTTTTTTTTTTGTTTTCCAAGCCCATATATAACATTAATCAATGGATTTTCCGAATATATATAGGAATGATCCTGTCTGGCCGGAGGGACATGAAGTTACGTCCGGACGCCTCCGTTTGGGGTGGTTCCCGATGAATTTTTTTGATGATTTTTTTTGATTATGTTTCTAATCAAGTCTAATTTATCTACAAAAAAATTTTACCTAAAAATTCGACCAGGAAACCAATCAAATAAATTTTTAAAATAACTACGTTTTGTATGAATAATTTTCAATGTTTGACATAGTCAAATGTCCGATGTCAATTCAAAAAGGCAAAAATGATTATTAGACCGTATACCAAATACCTCGAAAATCCACATATATGGCATAGCACAAAAACATTTTACATAAAAGTTTGAATAACACGAGTACATTTGAAAGGTCTATGGAATAGACATATTTATTCATTCAGAAATTATTTTGCGATAAAAAAGGCTTGGCTAAAAGCACAATAATTAATTAATTTGGAACCATGCCAAGGCAGGAAGGAATTGAAGGTTTTCTTTCAAATCTATTAACATGACTGTTTACGGAGTTTGGTTTATCACAAAAAACATGTATTTAATTAGTCGTTCTTATTTTCTTATAATGGGTTGATTTTCATGTTTGTCGAATCACAGCGGTTATAATTAATATATTTAATTTAATTAATACATTATCAGTATAATGGAATAAATCAGATTTTGAAATCCACAGTGAGGCAAATTTAATATATTTAACAATATGATTTCTAAATTCGTTTATGAATAAAATGTTAACAAATATAATATGTGAATGGTGAACAGGTTTAATTGCTGAATCTAATAAAGACACATAATTTAGAGCATGTTTGTTTTTATCCAAAAATCAATTTAATTAAAGGTAATTACTTTCCTCAGAAAATGATTCTTGTATCGCTACCCTTGAAGCATCTTGCTTGACTCGATGAATATGATCAAAATATCCCCAATTAAGTCAAAGGAGTATGATCAAAATTTCCCCAAGTCAAAGTTGACACAAAATGTGGACATTAGTTTCCCTTTTATTAAAATGACTGGAAAGTACATACCCCATTTCCCCAATCTCAAACATACTCAAAAGGAAAATGATACACACAAAGTATGTGGACGGCAATTTATACCGTGCAACGGGCGCACCATGAAGATGGTGCGCCCGGTTGCAAAACAACGCAGCAGTGGTCTGCAGTGGCTTGATTCCATTATTTTTTATTCTTTTTATTGTTAAAAATTGTAATAATTTTTTTATTTGATATCCGATTTTTATAAATTTTATAGCAGTTTTTTTTCATGATCTATCAAATGAGACCAATATTGCTTATGTAATTTTAACAAAGTATTGATGTTCAAAGTATTGTACATTATTCTTGTTAAGACCTGAGGTTCCATCGTTTCCTCTAGGGTTCCATCCTAAAAGGTGAATCTGATAGGAGAAGTAGCTCATGTCTTAATATAGCACTTCGTTGACTCAAACATTTCCGGTGTGGGATTTAACACCCCTCCTCACGACCAGACTCTTTGTCTGGATCGTGCCGTCATTCATTTTTTTTCGTCAATTCGTCATTGTCATTTTTTTATAATCGTGTCAATCATTTTTCATAAGAGGGCCCACATTATGGATCGATTTGGCTCTGATACCATGTTAAGATCTGAGGTTCCATCCTAAAAGGTCAACCTGATAGGAGGAGTATCGCATGTCTTAATATAGCACTTCGTTGACTCAAACATTTTCGGTGTGAGATTTAACAATTCTACTAATGCAATAACAATTGAGCATATTAAAGTTCTAAGAGTTGCTGCATCTGATTTTTTTTGGTATGATACCCTATGATTCCAACCCTTAGATTAATTCATCGGATGACCAAGATGAGTTTGTAAATGAGGACTTTCGGAAACGATAGTAAGCTCTTAAAATATGAGTGAATGAGTCTTACTTTGACAAGAAAAGATACAATAAACTCACTTTAAGAATTTTTTGTCTATTGAATTAGGAATATAATGAACTGACTAAGGAGTATGTTTTTTATGGAGTACTTGGGAAAAATGTTCTATATTCAATTTCGTGAAGCCACTAGTGCAAAGGGATATATATATAAGGATAAAGTTGACTTAGAATCATAAATAAGACTATCAATATTTTATTCTCAAAATAAGACGTATTGATTTCTATTTTGATAAATTTGAATCATATTTTTTCTTTGTATAGGATTAAATAAGTCCTATTTAGGGAATAAAATATACCTAATCTTATTTTTGAACTCTGTGAATATATTTCAGTTCTATATTGAATAATTTATATAATGATTTTAGAATGATTTGGTATAAAGAATACATATTTTTAGTATGGAATTATTCACAACAATTTCGTATATAAAATATGAATTTTTTACCCGTAGGTAGCCGTAAGTATGACATAAGTAAGAAGTTTCGGGAGTACAGCAAATACATACCCAGCAAACATGACATTAAGTAAGATGGTAGCTCCGATTGCAAGGCCAGCAAGTTCTCCAATCTGCAACCAGAATTAATTAAATTTGTAAAATTTGAATACATGCGTATAGTTTCAAGGATTATTATTACATACGGAGTAATAGATAAATGTTCAACTTTATGTCCTGAATCAAGTACTGTATAAAATATTACCCCGCCCCAATATATTTATCCATATTTAAAATTTTGACCAATTATATATTTTTATTAAAAATTATTTATAATATAATAATGATATCCAAATGTTCTTTTTTAAAAGTATATAAAATTTATAATTTCCATAATATTACACTACATACTAATCAAAATCAAAGTTGGGTTGGAGACTTTCTATAAACAAATCCCTTTTATTGTTATTGAAGTTGGGAAGAATTACAGATTTTGTAAATAAACAAATACCCCGTCTCTGAAAATACTTCCAACTTTCCTTTTTCGTCCGTCCCAAAAAGAACTTTCTTTTCCTTTTTTGGCAAAGAATTTGTGATTCACGGCTTTTCCTTTTATTGTTATTGCTGTATAATGATATGGAATGAGTATTATATTATTGTTTGGCTGGTATATATTAATCGAAGTCCGCCCAATTAAATTAGCTAGCTAGATAAAGACCAGAAATGAATGGAGTGTGAATATATATATATATATATATATATATATATATATATATATATATATATATATATATATATATATATATATACTAACGTACAGCTCGATTATCGGTGGCGACGCCGGAAATGACGAACATGAGATAGAATGTGATGATGAACTCAATGACTAGGGATTGCAGATCGGACCCCGTCGGAAGTGTGCCGGCGAAATGATCATGTTTGCCGTTGAATAACAATCGCAGGGTTCCACTTGCTAAAGTTGCTCCAATCATCTGTGCTGATATATACGCAGGCACCTGTACGTCCAAATTAAATAAATAAATTGGGCAAGGATAAGATCGATCGAACAGATTTATTGTAATTTTTTAATTTTAACTAGATGAATAGATCGATCTAAAATACTAGCTAATTAATGCCCAACATTATATTGATGAGATACAGGGAAAATGTTTTTAGTTAGCTTGAAATTTTCTGGGATCTTGTATGATTCGATTTGGTCCGATAAATTTCAATCTCTGTATATTTTACAACTGTCTTTGTCTAATTTAATTTGAACTGATATGATCTGAACTAGTTTGGTCTGACCTATATGAATACTGAAAATGGTCTAAGTAAAAGGGATAATTTAAGTTTGCACCCCTTATTATTGTATAAATTAGACTTTGCATCCCGTTTTTTAAAAATCTTTGTTTTTGCACTCCATCACCATATGCAAAGACAAAAATGCCCTCAATCAGGAATATGTTGAAGGTTAACAGAATTGTTAATGGAGGGGCATTTAGTCTTTTCATATGAGGTTGGGGTGCAAAAATAAAGATTTTTAAAACGAGGTGCAAAGTCCAATTTAGACAATAATATGAAGTGCAAACTCAAATTACCCCAAACTAAAAACATGTCGGTCTCAAGTAATTAACTTGAAGAGCAGAAATTAACAAGTCAAGAGCAGCAGCCTGAAAATATAATAACTACGACAGACAACTAAATGCGCGCGGGCACAGTTGCTACTTGCCATACAGCGGTGCCATAAATTTTACCCAATAACGTCGGCTCCTTCCCCTCACATTTATTCATTTTGACGGTGTGATTGCCAAATTTAGAAATCAGAATAAATATCGATCATGAGGTTAATTAGGTGATATATATATAGGTAAATGTGTGTTATATTATTGACATTAACCAAAACTTAATTAATGTTTGTAACCTTGTGCAAAACAAGGGTGAAACGCATAAATATTATTGTTGCATTTTAGTATCTTATCTTTTAAATGAATTAAAAGAGTTCTTAACTTGCCGAAATTCTATTCATAAAGTCTATTTCACGTTATTTTTGTCCATAGATCATAGTATGGTGACTCTACACATGAAATTTTGATGGCTATGACAAATTTTTTGGCCGCAAATTTGAATAAAATTCCAAGTTGAAACATTTAAAAATTAAGATACCAAAACGTAATAATATCAATAGTTAAGGTATCATTTATGCATTTGATTCAAATCGTCATTTCATCATTTATTTTGCATTTAAAGTATTCAATTGCAATATTTATATTGATCAATGTGGACAATATATGACCTTGAGAGTACCATGGAATTTGTCTTATTAAAATAACTTTGGTACTCTAAATAATAGTAAGGGATAGTAGTAAAAATAATTGTGCAGAAACAAAATAGTCCACAGTAGGAAAGAGAAAGGATCAGAAAGTGGAAAAGTGTGAAATGAACGAAAATGAAGTCAAAAAGCACAAGGGAAAAAATGAAAAAGAAGGTGAAAAGGGGTGTAATAGGTAGATAATGATGATAGAAGGTGAAGAGATGGTCGTGCGTGCCTGTTGGAAGGGGAACCTCTTGCAGCTTGCAAAAGCAATGGTAACGGCAGGGTTCAAATGCGCGCCGGAGATGTGTCCGACGGAGTATACCATCACCACCACCGCCAGCCCCCACACTATGGCCACCCCCGGAAACGTCACGCTGCCCTTCTCGGCGTTGACCACCGCCGAGCCGCAGCCAGCGAACATCAAGAAGTATGTCCCAAGTATCTCTGCAATCAACTACTCACACAGACGTACTGGGACAGTTAATGACATACTATATATACGTATAGTAGTAATAATAATGATATTCGAAATGGGCGGCGGATAGGATGGAGATTCACCTTTTGGAAAAAAGGGAGGGTTAAACCGAAGCCGCCGCATCCTGCATCAGAAGAAGACATATCAGGATTTGACCTTTCGCCATCCCGTATATCCACAGCAACCACTTGGTTTCCTGCCATCTTATATTACTCGATCGATCTCGATCTATCTAAAGGCCAGGCCAGGCCGGAGTGGGATTCAATATCACCTAGCTACCTGCTGCATATAAACCGGATGAGCTAGGAAGCCTCTATTTATATATCTCATGCCCTCTCTCTTTGCAGGCAGGCAGGACCCACAAAGGCACATCCTTTCAGGCCTTTTCTTTTGACCATCCATATAGACTTATCACTTGCGACTTATTTAGGTATATATGCACTGACTCAAAAGTCTTACTACCCGATCACTCCGATCCTTCCTTCCCATTTTGCTTGTTTCATTTTTTACTCCACCTAATACCAAGAGAATGACATAATGAAGAAGTCTTGGTTGTTTCATTTTTTGAGGGTAGCACACCTAATAGGAAGAAAATGTCATATTGGATCGGAGAAGTCTCCAGTTCAACTTCAAGTAATGACTTGAGATCAAAGTTCAATTTATATCTTTCTAGATAGCTGTCTAATCCATTCTAGAGAGCTTCTCAGATGGAGTGTTATCCATTTTTTTGTTTCATTTTTAGTGTGTCTTATAAATTTCTTGTTTTGTTGCAAGAAGTATTAATTTATATCATTTCATCTTATTATATTCCAATTTCAACCACAATTTTTATTTTTCAATCACTCTATTAATAATTGTGTCAAACTAAAATAAGACATCCAATGTGTCATGAAAGTAGTATTGCTTCTTGTCGTTAATTTTTGCTTATACATTACTACTGATGAGGTCCATGAAGATGACGTGTCGTCTACGTGGTTTCAAGAATTTAAGAATCTGCGCCACCTAATAACACTTGTTGAGAGAAAGCTGGATACTTTGATTATTAGAGCACCACTGCAGCCTTTGCTATTTGAGAACCTATGGGGTAGTTGCGTCGGGCACACGACGTTAAAAATAGTGCTTCTTGGGAGGCAACCCAAGCTTATTTCTACACTTTATTTTAGTTTTATTGCTTTCAGAAAACCCCCGGAAAAAACGGATGTTTTCTGTGTGTTTTGAGTGTTTGTGTGATTTGTTTTGCACCTCAAAGTATTCTTTTTGGATGATGGTCACGGTTTACACTCACTACGATTCTGCACCGAACAACGCTTTTTGGATGAGACCAGTCTTCGAATAAATGACCAGGTCGTGCCGAGAGGTCGGTCATGATGGATAGGGTTGTAAACGAATCAAATAATTTGTGCTCGATTTGGGATTCGAGTTCATATAAAATGATTCGAATTCGAAAAATTCAAATACAAATACAAATAAGACTATTAAATTTAATTCGAGTTGTTATCAAATACAAATAAGAATATCAGTGTATTCGATTCGAATATTAATCAAATATATTTGATTAATAATAGTAAATAATAATAATAATAATAATAATAGTAATAACACTATAATAACTTTTAAAAGATAGCAATACCCTCAAAGTGAAGTCCATATATACACTTTTGCATACAGATTTCAAGCCCATTTGTAATGAATCGGAATATAAATATGAACACAAACCATTTTTTTGGTTCTAATGTCTTTCAAATACAATACAAATAACTATGTATTCGATTTGAAGAATAAAATTAGAGTTGTTTGACTTTGACATGAACAATTATCAACTTATTTCACACATTATAACTATAATTTCTAATATGTGTGTGTTAGTGTTTATTTCAAAAAGTTTGAATGGATTTATATTTATCAATTATAAAATTAATTCACTTTAGTATATTGTGCACCATCTAAAAATGTATTGATCCATTAAATTTAAAATCTAAAACACATATTAAGTCATAGCATGCATTTACAACATAAAAAATACGGAGTATAAGAAAAGTTATTTTAGAATGATATTTGACTCATATTTAACCTATGCTCAAATCAATTTGATATTCGTATATGATTCGTTAACTATTCGTATTGTTAGACAAATACAAATACAAATCGAAATTAATATTCGTTTCATATTTGAATTCGAATTCGTATTCAAAAAAATTAAACAAATACAAATACGAAATCTCATTATTCAACTCGATTCGGTTCGTTTATAACCCTAATGATGGATGGACATCGGCAATGAGGGGCTGGTCCACAATACCAATGCAACGGCTCTCATTCGCGCAGTGCGGGGATGAGACCGGTCTTCAAAAGACAATCACGGCGTGCCAAGAGGCCGATCGTGATGTATGGATGTCAACACTGAGGGGCCAATTCGGGATATCCAAGCAGCGGCTCTCATCCGCGCGTGGCGGGGATGAGACCGGTCTTCGAAATGGAAAACATGTCATGCCGAGAGGCCAGTCGTGATATAAAGATGTCAGCACTGAAAGGCCGATCCAGAAATATCCATGCAACGGTCCTCATCCGCGCGGGGCAGGGATGAGTCCAGTCTTCAAAATGGAAAACACGTCGTGCCGAGAGGCCAGTCATGATATAAAGATGTCGGCACTAAAAAGCGATCCAGAAATATCCATGCAACAGTCCTCATCCGCGCGGGGTGGGGATGAGACTGGTCTTCGAAATGGAAAACACGTCGTGCCGAGAGGCCGGTCGTGATATAAGGATATTGGCACTGAAAAGTCGATCCAGAAATACCATGCAACGATCCTCATCCGCGCGGGGTGGGGATAAATCCGGACTTCAAAATGGAAAACACGCCATGCTGACAGGCCGGTCGTGATATAAAGATGCCGACACTAAAAGGCCGATTCAGAAATATCCATGCAATGATCCTGATCCACGCGGGGCAGGGAGGAGACCGATCTTTAAAAGATAATCACACCGTGCCGAGGGGGCGGCCGTGTTGTAAGGACATCGGCACTGGGGGCCGGTCCCCAAAAGATAATCACGTTTTCCCGAGGGGCCAGACGTGATGTAAGGACATCAGCACTAGGAGGCCGATCTGAATACACACAACAACTCTCATCCGTGCAACGCGGGGAAGAGTGCGGTCTTCAAAACGATAATCACGTCGTGTCGAGGGGCCGACCGTGATGTAAGGACATCTCCACTGGGGAGCCAGACCAGAACATCCACGCAACGGCTCTCATCCATGCAGCGCGCTGATGAGACCGGTCTTCAAAAGATAATCACATCGAGCCGAGGGGCCAGTCGTGATGTAAGGACATCGACACCGGGGGCCGGGCCAGTATATCCTCGCAATGGCTCTCATTCGCGCAAAGCGGGGATGAGACCGGTCTTCAAAAATGTGATCACGCCATGCCGATAGGCCGATCATCATACGATATCATGACACACTCATGATTGTGATTTCTTCTCCTCTTTGCTGGCCATGAACGTCTCCGCGACTCATGTCGAACATCATTTAATCTCTCCGCTCGAGCGCGTCAAGCGGCCTAGACTACATAATAAACATGCTAATGGGGTTGTACAGCCCAACAATATATACACATATAAACATCTCTATGTATGCCTTTCTTTTTCAACGTTTACGTTCACCGGCCTACGTGTTACCGTGACCCTCGGCCTGGATCATCGCTCAGGGTTCTTAGACATAACTGTCCACGGCTAGGCCATCTAGTGGGTTGCCGGATGTCACATAGGAACAACTGTCGGTCTGTGAGATTGAAAACTCAACTCCACGCTAGGCGCGTTGCCCTCAGAAAAAAGAGGTTGAGCGCCTCGGTGCCCTCGGGCCCCACATGCCATGATTGGCAAGCGGTCAACTCACACTTGGCAGCGTAGATGGTACTAGGGTACGATCGTCGATCAGGCACTTGGTGCCATGCAGAATCATGTACAACCCCTAAATTAAAATGCATCATCGGGGAATGCCATTCGGAGACGTTCCAATCGCTAATTTAAGCCGATCGGAAGTGGGTTGACGGGGCATCAAAAAACAATCATTAAATTAAAATGACTGTGAATACTACGACGGGAGCTTCGCTCAGCATTATTTAAGGTTGGACATTTACATCCCTAATAAATAATTGTGATAACAACTAATAGTAATAATACTACTTAAAACTAATTAGCAAGTGTGAGAAAGGTGTACTTAGCTTTGGAAAAAAGGCTCAACCAGCTGTGATGTTTGGAGGTCGGATTTATGTTCCTTGTTGCCAATTTTGATCAGGTCAAAATTGCCCAAAAGCCTCCCATTAATCGACATTCACGTCTACAAGTTGAAAGCCACCCCTACGGTCAATACGGTAGCCCGATTGCTACTCAGCTATTGTAGCTTGTCGGAGGGAGCCCATGAAGTGCGCAACGCATCAATGACTGATGATGGCCAGGAAAAATCTTCCTCAGACGGCCTCAGCGGCGGAAAAAGACCGATAGCGTGGTCGCTAGGACTCCGGCATCACCGGCGAAGCTTCCTCAGGCCACAGGGGTGCACTGGTTTACGATTGTCACTCTTGGAGCTCTCAGCTGTCATTAATTACGAACCTTCTCTGAGGTTCGTGAAGCCAGGGGGAGCTGAGTGTAACGAGTGCACCTGTCAAGGGAAATAAAGAAAATATTGTTGGGGCCAAGGATCAAAGTTACGGGACCACAGAGGCTGGAGAGAGGCGTAGCACACGGATCAAAATAACAAACACAAGGCTGAATGATTTTGTCGTTTAACAGCAAGTAATATATTAGCTATGCAAGGGTGATGGTTAGGAGGAAATATCCGACTCCTCTCTTTCTTCTCTAAGAATTTTCTGGCTACTTTATCCTGTAATTCCTCCATGTCTGGACTGCTTTTACTTTCTTGTTCTCTCTGGAACTGCTTACTATAAAAATAATTTACATTGCCCTCATTATATTTGAGTTGTTTTACTCTATTAATCTGCTGCCACCCCCATATCGTAACATTTGGTGCTTTCATCCTTCGAACTCATGGCGGAGGGCATTAGGATTAAAGAGCTTGCCGAAAGCATGAACAAATTGATGGAGATGTTAGAGGCGGACAAGCTGGATAACAGAGCTCGATTTGAAACATCGGAAAATGCAGTTGACGCCTTGCTGAAGCAGAACTTGGAGCCTGGTGTGAATCAGATAGCTAATGTTTCAGGTAACCATTCCGATGGAGGATCTTCTTCGCACCAACCATTTCGGGTGCATAATGTGAAGCTAGAGTTTCCTCGTTTGGATCTGGAGTTTTACAATGGATTTTCAAGGCTGAGCAATTCTTTGACTATTACAATACTCCTGATAATCAACGACTTACCATAGCAACGATTCATATGGAAAAGGAGGTCGTTCCTTGGATCCAAATGACTAATAGGTCTACTCCCTTCCAGTCTTGGATTGATTTTACTCGGGCTTTAGAATTGGAGTTTGGCCCTTCACCCTATGAAAGTCCGAGATCACTGTTATTCAAGTTGTCACAGGTAGGCTCCGTTCAGGAGTATTATACTCAATTCACTGCTCTGGCCAACCGTGTACAAGGCGTCAGTAGAGAAGCTTACTCGATTGCTTTGTTGGAGGACTTAAAAATGATATTCAGCCTGAGGTAATAGCCCAATCCCGACTACTTTGCTTAGATGTGTATCTCTAGCCAGTTTATTTGAGGAGAAATATGTTTCTAATAATAAACCATATCAAAATTCATACCAAAACCGTCTGCAAACAACAAGCTCTACCAACCACCTAAACATATCCCAAACATCCTCACAATCTTTAAAATCTACAAGCCTTCCACCGTTACTTCCAAAACCTGCCACTAAATTCAGTTTTAATGTCCCCAAATCAGCAAATGTGAAGAAAATATCACCGGCTGAAATGCAAGTCAGAATAGATAAAGGTCTATGCTACACGTGTGATGAAAATTTTTCTGCTTCTCATAGATGCCCTAATAAGCAATATCTTTTGTTGCAAATCGAGGAAGAAGAGATTGAAATCCAATCTGATCAACCAATGGCACAAGAGGATGACATGATACAGGAGAGTCTAGAGCATCATTTATAATACAATGCTTTTAAGGGTGCCTCCATCCTGGGTACTATGAGATTTAAAGGTACCATTAATGGCATGGTAGTTCAAATCTTACTTGATAGTGGGAACTCAGATAATTTTCTGTAGCCGAGAATTGCTCATAGTTTGAAATTGCTAGTGGAACCTGCTTCCAATTTCCATGTACTAGTAGGGAATGGTAATTCTCTATTTGGAGAAGAAGTGGTGAAACAGGTTGAGGTTATAGTGCAGGGTCATTCACTAAAGTTCCCAGTTTATCTACTACCTATTGCGGGGGCCAATTTGGTGTTAGGAGCTACCTGGCTGGCCACATTGGGTCCTCATATTTCTGACTGCAGTAAGCTCACATTAAAATTTTACAAGGATAATGAATTTGTCACCTTGCATGGAGATCAACCTAAACTTCCGGAGCCGGCTCAGTTTAATCAATTGAGGAGAATACAACACACACAGTTCATTGCTGTAATATTTATCTTGCAATATAAGGAAGTGGATGTTCCCCACGATAATGTTATGGTCTTACCTGAAGACATGGAACCAGAGTTGAAAAGGTTGTTACTTAATTATAGACATATTTTTGGTGTCCCTATAGATTTTCCACCTCCCAGATCTCAAAACCATGTCATTCCCTTGATGAAGGATGCCAAACCGGTGAAAGTAAGGCCATATAGATATCCTCACAGTAAAAAATTGCAAATTGAAACTATGGTCAAGGATATGCTTGTTTCAGGGATCATTATACCAAGTAATAGTCCATTTCCATCTCCTATCATCTTGGTCAAGAAGAAGGATGGCACACGGCGGTTTTGCCCAGACTATAGGGCTTTCAACGCCACAACCGTAAAAGACAGTTTTCCCATTTCAACTATTGATGAGCTTTTGGATGAATTATTTGGCTCCAAATACTTCTCCAAACTGGACCTTAGGTCCGGGTACCACCAAATCTTAGTCACGGAGGAGGATAGACACAAAATAGCTTTCAGAACTCACCAAGGACATTATGAATGGTTAGTAATGCCGTTTGGGCTTACCAATGCTCCGACAACATTTCAGAGCTTAATGAATGAAGTTTTCAAAGACTTTCTTCGTAAATTCGTTTTGGTTTTCTTTGATGATATACTAGTTTACAGTTATATTTGGGAAGAACATCTTTTACATTTAGAAAATGTCCTCTCGTTGCTTCAGAAACATCAGTTATTTGCTAAGCTGTCTAAATGCTCTTTTGGAATGAAACATGTGGATTACTTGGGTCATACAATTTCAGGTCAAGGGGTGGCAATGGACAACGCTAAGGTGCAAGTCATTCTAGACTGGCCAACTCCGGGTAACATCAAATAGTTAAGGGGTTTTTAGGGCTCACTGAATATTATAGAAAATTCATTAAATCTTATGCTAGTATTGCAGCTCCGTTGACGAATTTGCTGAGAAAAGATAGTTTTGTATGGGGCGAAGAGGCAAATGAAGTTTTCATCAAGTTGAAAGAAGCTATCACTAAAGCCCCAGTTTTGGCATTGCTTGTCACGCCTCGAACCTACCCGAACACGTCAACAACCCACCGTACAGTACAAATAGTCAACCACAGTCCAACTCATCCATACTATACAAGGCGTCTTGAATACCATTCACACATAGTACATCCATAAACAAACATAATGTAAAATATTCATTTAAAGCAGCGGAAATAGTTAATACAAGTGTTCAAGCAACACTTGGCATAATTAGGCATACAAGCCCCCAAAAATAATTATTCTGAAAATAATACCCATGAGCATTATTATAATTGTTTTTGAAACAGAAACAGAGGAAGCACGAACCACGTCTTCTCTCCTAGATTTTCCCGAAGCAACGGGCACTGGTAGCAAGCTCAACTTCTACCTGAAACTGTGAGGTGGCCTCCCCCGTGAAGGGGAGGTCAGTACTTGGAAGCATTTGACAAGTACAATGACAACTATACTAAGTATAATCAACGATTCAATTTCTAAGACCCTCAGTCTAGGGTGATATCATATTATATTATAGACCATAACCCTCGGTTACCCTGTTTGAAAATGTACTTACTTTATGTATAAAGTCAAGCAGTCGGCCCGTGGGCCGTATTCACTTTGAAACGTCCACCCCTGTTTCCCCGTGACTATTAGTCACGATTGTCATAACTTTCAGTAAGTTACTTTTACCGTCAAGGGGAATTTGTCAATTTCATTAATTAGTCATCTTGGAGCCTCGCTCAATCTTATTATTATATCGTGCTAGAGTCTCGCTCTTAGTCGTCCTACGTCGTACTAGAGCCTCGCTCTTAGTCGCTCTATGTTTCACAAGTTCACCCCCCCTTAACAAGAATTCTGTCCCCGAAATTCACGTCGTCATTTCGTTTTAACCGGTGTCAATCTATCCTTAGAGTACACATTTCTCCAAGTCTCTACGTTGACGTAACTAGTTGGATTAAGTTCTTTGGCATGTGAATCCGACAATTCTCACCCAAGGTGAATCATTATTAACAATTTTCATTAACCTTTAACTTGAAGGTTCCCTAGTACCCTTATGGCATATCCCGTTTTAAAACATACCTACTTACATACAATTATGTAGCCGGCCGTGGGTCCGCGTTCATTTAGAAACACCCTTCCGTATTCGCCGTGACTACTAGTCACAATTATCGTAAACTCATAGTAAATCATTACGCATTTCTAGGGCTTACCCTATAGCTGCCGACTCACTGTCTCCATGTTTCCTATTAGCATTCTCTCAACCTAAGCTGGAATTGATCCCAGAATTAAGGAAAGCAGTAACAAAAGATTCACAATTGAGTAGTGTTTTACAACTTTGTTTGCAAAACATGCCACCTAATGCAAATTACTCAGTAGTGGATCAGTTATTGTATCGGAAGGGTCGTCTGGTTTTACCGAAGGGGCATGACTTATTTATGAAGATTATGAGAGAGTTTCACAGTACCAAATTGGGAGGACATGCTGGTTTCACAAGAAAATTACAGAGAATAGCATCTGAATTCTTTTGGCAAGGAATGCATAAGGATATCAAGGATGATACAACCTTGCCAACAGGCTAAGCATGATACAACCTTGCCTTCTGGATTGCTGGAACCGTTACCCGTTCCAACTCAAATTTGGGAAGACATAGCTATGGATTTCATAACTTGCCTTCCAGCTTCCAATGGACATACAGTCATTATGGTCGTCATTGATAGGCTCTCTAAGTATGCCCATCTTGCTAGCTTGAAGTCTGATTTTAATAGCATACAAGTTGCAGAGTTGTTCATTAAAAATATATTCAAGCTGCATGGTTTTCCAAAGTCAATACTATCCTATCGAGATAAGGTTTTCACTAGTCAATTTTGGCAACGGTTGTTTAAATTGAGTGACACATCATTGAAACTTAGCACTGCTTACCATCCTCAAACAGATGGTCAGTCAGAGGCTTTAAATAAATGCATTGAGATGTATTTAAAGTGCTTCACATTTGACAATCCAAAAGAGTGGGTTAAGCTATTGCCATGGGCTGAATATTGGTATAATACTGCTTACCATCACAGTAGCGGACTGACTCCTTTCAAAGTGGTGTATGGGCGAGAGCCACCATCAATAGTAAAAAACAATTGCGACAATCAGGACCCTCCAAGTGTGCAAGAACAATTATTACAGAGAGATGCTACTCTGAGTAAACTGAGGGAGACATGGCATAAAACATAGATGTACATGAAGAAATATGCTGATCAAAAGCAAAAACCATTTCAGCTGGCTCTGGGTGACAAGGTACTTGTGAAGTTACAACCTTATCGTCAGCATTCAGTGGCATTGCGAAAAAATCAGAAGTTGAGCCTGCGATACTTTGGGACATTTCAAGTGATTGAAAAATAGGAGAAGTCGCTTAGAAACTTCTTTTGCCACCGGGTGTCCGAATACATCCGGTTTTTCATTGTTCTCAGCTGAAATTGTGCAAGGGAGATCATGGTCAAGCTTTTATACCGCTGCCCATTTCAACTTCATTACTAGGCCCCGTGTTGCAAGCAGAATCAATTTTACAATCAAGAACTATTATTACAAATAATCAGCAGAAACAACAATGCCTGGTAAAATGGGAAAGGTCTGGAAGAGAATCAAGCTACATGGGAAGATACTACAGCTATACAACTTGCTTTTCCTGAGTTCAACCTTGAGGGCAAGGTTGTGGTTAAAAGGGAAGGTAATGTAACGAGTGCACATGTCAAGGGAAATAAAGAAAATATTGTTGGGGCCCAGGATCAAAGTTACGGGACCACAGAGGCTGGAGAGAGGCGTAGCACATGGATCAAAATAACAAACACAAGGGTGAAGGATTTTGTCTTTGAGCAGCAAGTAATATATTAGCTATGCAAGGGTGATGGTTAGGAGGAAATATATGACTCCTCTCTTTCTTCTCTAAGATTTTTCTGGCTACTTTATCCTGTAATTCCTCCATGTCTGGACTGCTATTACTTTCTTGTTCTCTCTGAAACTGCTTACTATAAAAATAATTTACATTGCCCTCATTATATTTGAGTTGTTTTACTCTATTAATCTGCTACCACCCCCATATCGTAACACTGAGGCTGGCGAACGCTTCGCGACGAAGGCGGAGAACGACGCTGCTAGCGACGGTGATGGCCGGAAAAGCTAGGCGATTTTTATCTGTCCGTGAGCTCTTGGTGGAGCACGACGGTGGTATGGACGGCTGCTCAGGCCATGGTCTGCCAAATTCCAGATCTGGACTTCATCCCTTCTTCTTTTCCCCCAAATCACAACTTAATCACACGTTTTCAAAACATTCGGAGTATCATTTATAATGTAATGTGTCGCATTTAATCATCTAAATATACACTGTACATTAACTTTACTTACAAATTGTTCATAAGTATTGTTGGGATATGTTATCCCAGCCTATTCCTATTCAGGAGTCCAAGGCATTACTTAGTACAAAGCTCAATCAGTGAGGCCGATTTCGACCCATTCAGCTCATTCGGCCCATTTTGGCCCAGCAGGCTCACCTTGGCCCGTTTGGCCCATTACGGTAGAATGCACCCCCTTCCCCCTTTTTCCTATAAATAAATAGGGAGCTTTGTCTCCATTTGAAGGATCCCCTTTTGGCTCCTCATCTCTAGAAACTTAGTGACTCCATTAATGGGAGCTTGTATTTGTGCATTGTAATGGTGAAGAGAGTCTAATGGAAATGAGAGGGCTTGAATATTAGCCTAAAAAGTCTCGTGGTTTTCTCCCTTTCAGGTTTCCACGTGAAGATCGAGAGATCATACAAATTTATATCTATATTTATTATATCGTGTTGGATTAAATTCAACACTGGCGCCGTCTTTGGGATTCTTGTTCAAAAAGTTTCATGTGTTCTACACAAAATTCATACGAAGAATGCCTGAAAACCATTGTGATGAACAAATTTAGAATATAGTAAACTTTGGTGACTTCTAGATGCATTTAGCTAGAGCCCGGAAGGTACAAATATATTCATTTAGATATGAACAATAAGAGTACGTAAGATGTTTTCAAATGACTACGGGAGCGTGTCTAATGCAACAATTGTTACGAGTCATATATGGTAGAAGAGAAATAAGCAGATAAAATTAAAACAAAGATATTTTTATATCATTCTTTCCACTACTAAATTTTTATACTTTTAGTTGGTTTTTGTGTATAATATTAACAACACTATCTGTATATAGACTTTGTACTTCACATATGGTGAGAAAAATACTAAAAAGTAAAAACATAGAAAAATATTAAAGATCAAAGATTTCATTCTAAAAGGTCAACCCGATTGTACGAGTGGTCGAGGATCCTCATATAGCATTAAAACTTTTTTTAAAAACCGGAAGGCAAACTACCGAAATCGGTGGGGGAAAATGTCGGGGAACATTTACCGGATTTTATTAGAATAAAATTAAGTACATAAGAGAGGGGGACTATACCAAAACCTATCAGAAGAGGCATACCTCTTCAAAAATAGAGCATGCAAAACAGAGCAAAAATAATTGGGGGGACTAGACCTGACCCAATAAAAGCAACAAACTGAAAAATTAATATCTAAAGGAAGGAATACCGAAAAGGTCTATGACGTGCACTCGTCGTTAGGTGCACTCAAAATAATTAATCAATACGACACTAATACGTAGTATAGTGTAGTAAGGTTCGTATCCACAGGGAAAGGAATACTTTTCTTTTATAAAAGTAGTAACAAAGGGGGGTTTAGATTTGTTTGCTTTAAAAAAACACTAAGATAAACGACCTATATGAGTTTAATTCAATGAGATGAAGACTTGGTTTTGCTTTTATCCACTTAATGAAATGTTCGTCGATCCCGGTTATATCTTTAACTATCTTCCTCTCGAATACTCAATCGAGGAGTATATCCAGTTCATCGAGGGTAGTTATTAATAACGAGATGCGTTCATTAATAAAACTTACTATCGAGTCAATATAGAACAAGCGCCGTATATTAACTTGATAGTAGCAATAAACTTAAGATGAAAACGATCGAGATTGATAACCTCAACACAAGCGGTTTATTGGTTTAATCAATATAATTAATTCCCCTTGGCATATTAACCATGAGATGCATGCATTAATATTCCAAGTTTACTACCGTTGAAAGAACCGGATTAATAACAAACGTATTAACCGATTGATTCTAGTAATAATTAATATGAGAAACAATACTAGTTGATACTTTAAGTAATGTTTAAGATATTAACATGAAATATGAATAGGAATTAATTAATACTCAAGGAAGAATATTAAAATATATGAATCCTACTATGATTAATATAAACACAAATTACAAAAGAGCATCTTGGGTTTAATGGCCTCCTAGTGTTGTCTTCTTTTCTCCTCCTCTCTTCTTCTTTATCTTGAATCTTCTTATTCTTCACAAGGATACAATGAGTGCCTGCAAGAACAAACATTTCTCTCATATCTCTCATTTTGCCTAGGAGCCTTTTCAGGTTTTCATCCTAGCACCTCTTTTCATTTTTCCATTCTCTCCAACTCACTCATTTTTTTATAAGCCTTTTTTGCTTAGATTGCCCATTTTGTTGGGTTTTCAACCTAACTAGCATTTATTTTCTTTTGTTTATTTTTGTTTTGTTTTTGTGTGTGTAAAAGTTCAAAAGAATTACATGCATAGTGCTAGGTAGAAATGAAAATTACATACCATCATGAGTATCTCCCCCGCACTTGAATCAAGCACTGTCCCTAGTGCCCACCTTCTCCTCCGTAGTAGCTCCCTCCAAAGCCGCTCCCTTGGCCACCATCTCCCATGTAGGTGTCCCCGCCATCTCCGCCGTCGTACCCTCCACCCCCGGAGCCTGATCCTCCAAAGTTACCCCAATGAGTGGGGTCATACCATAAGGGTGGTGGAGGGGGGTTCGCCATGGTATGGAATGATCCCTGTTGTGCCATATAAGAGTACATAGGTCCGTAAAACCTATGTTGGTCTTCCTCATACCGATGTCTATCGGCCTCCCGGAGCTCCTCCAAACGTTGAAAGCCGGCTCTTTGCTCATCCTCCAATCTTTGAAAACCGGCTCTTTGCTCCTCCTCTAATCGGTTGAGCCGGTTGTCCATTTGGTCTATTCCCGAAAGAAGTTGTTGTTGACCCTCCAGAAGTTGTTGAAAGAAGTCGGGTGGTGGAGGGTTTTGGCTCTGTTCTGGGAAGTCCGGGCTCATGGTTGGATGGCTATGGAGTTGCTCATAGGGCTCGTAATCTGGTTGGTTTTGGGGAGGTTCCTGTTCCGGTTCCTGGAGATGTGGTGGGAGGGCGTTTGGGAAGAGGTAATGTTGCTCCGGTCTTCCTGTTTTGAAATGGAGTTGGGGGAGTTCTGGGTTGGGAAAGAGGAAGTATTTGAGGGGTTTGGGGTGGATGTGCCAGTTGTACATATTTCTGGGCCTTTCTTCACCATAAACGGTGTGTGAAAAAGATGTACAGCCCGAGTGGCCCAGCCAAGATATGTTCATCAAACAGTAGTCGGGTATAGGAGAGTCATCCGTATACCCGAACTTTGTGGCCAAGTGCATAATCACCCCGCCCACTACAATAGCACCCTTTGCCACACTTTCTTTTTTTAGATGTGCCCACATGAGATTACATAGGTTGAAGTCTACGTGGATACGGAATAGGGCTACCGATATCAGGCACACATCCCCCATCCTAGTGTGATGGTTGTTGGGACGTCCAAGTAAGGAGTTGGCAAGGAATTTCAAAAAGAGGCGTAGGACGGGATGTTGGACATGACTAATGTAGAGTTGGGAGGAGCTAAATTTAGTCTCCCCGGTCATCTTGGTCCATAGGGTATGACCGAAGGCGGTATTGTCGGATATAGATTTTTGGTACGGGACCGGAATACCAAAGTGTTCGGCGAACTCAAGTTTTGTGATGGTGTGATTGTGATTAAACAATCGAAACCTGAGTTTATCATCCCTAAAGTCCCCTTCATTGTTCTCAAAGTGCACAGAGCTTAGGAATTCATAGATAATTTTTTCATTTGAGTTGTATTGCATTTTGAAAATTTTGTCCATGCTCAACTCATGAAAAAATTTCTTCATCATTTTGTACACTCCTAATTCCTTCAGGACATCAAGGCATAAAAAGCGGGAAGGTTTAACTTGCCTTTCAATTGTGGACATGAAGCGTGTGCGGTGTTCATTGTCCACGAAGAGGATGTCCTCGTAGCCCGGGATGGATGCCCTAGTGCTTGAGCTTTGCCCTTTCTCTTTCCTTGGATCCATTTGGAGTGAATTTGGCCTTTGAAAACCGAAATTGGAAGGTGGGGGGTAGGGTTTTTCGGACCTCTGAAAATTGGGGGAGAATGGGATTGGTGAGTATGAATGTGTAGAGGAGGATGAGGGGAGTGTTTTGGTGTTGAAATGGGAGGATTTGGTGAAGATTTGGAAGAGATATGGTAGAGAGAAGATGTAAAAATGGGGGTTTGGGAGTTTTTGTTCGAGATAAGGTTGGAAATTCGGAGAAGACGAAGTGTTTTGGGGCTGATTTGGGGTTATAATACCCGTATACCCGATCGAGTATGTGTTGGTACTCGGTCGGGTATGTCTGGAAAGTGGCCTTTTTGAGCAGTCTGCCTCCTGTACTCGATCGGGTAGTATGTTGTTACCCGGTCGAGTATGTCTAGAAAATGAACTTTGTGAGCAGCCTGCCTCCTGTACCCGGTCGAGTATTCCTCCATACTCGATCGGGTATGTGCTTTTTCTTCTACTTTTGAAGCAGGTACTCGGTCGAGTGTGGGAGTCAGTCTCCTTCAATTTTAGCATTTCTAAACATACCTGACCGGGTGTATAGTGATACCCGATCGGGTATTCCTTGTTTTTCAATTTTTTTGAGTGCTTCCTCGATCGAGTAATGCCCGGTCCCTTTTCTTTTTGCTCATACCCGACCGAGTATAAGGTGATACTCGATCGGGTATGTCCCCAGATGTTCCAAAACCTGCATTTTTTATTTCTTTTCTTCCAAAAAACCGTGATTAGTGCCCTCCCTTACTGATCTCTCAAATATTTAGACAAAAAAATGAATTCTAAAAAAAAAATGAATTATACACACTTAAATAAAAATAAAATAAACTTGGGTTGCCTCCCAAGTAGCGCCTTAGTTAACGTCGTGACACGACGTTATTCATTTTTTTTGGTTTTGTTTTATGTGGGATCATGAGCATCCCTTGTTTCACTTTTCAAAGTCCTATTTGGCCATTTTTCATTTTTATTTTTCGGCCTTTTCCAGTAAGGCCGGGGTTTCTTTCTCGAAAGACATCTGATTTTATCCGCTTCTTTGAAAAACAGCGGTTCTTGTGGTTCAACAACATGTAAAGAACACAGAGTTGGATTTTGCATTTGTTTTTTCGTAGAGTCCAAGATGTTGAACTCCACTTTTTGATCATCGAACTCTAAAGTTAGTGAACCACTAGAAACGTCAATTTTCGTTTTTGCGGTCTTCATGAAGGGTCTACCCAAAAGGATGGGTGTTGTTTGGTCATCAGTTCCCATTTCAAGGACATAGAAGTCAACAGGAAAAACCATATGTTTTACTTTTATTAGCACATCTTCTACTACACCCTTCGGGTAAGTACTAGAATGATCTGCCAATTGAATCACTACACCTGTTTGATGTAGTGGGCCAAGTTGTAGAGTTTTGTAAACAGAATAGGGGATGACATTTATTGATGCCCCTAAATCCAACAAGGCCTTAGGAAATGTGGTGTTTCCTATTTTGCAAGGGATATTGAACATGCCTGGGTCG